AATCTTTCTTTTCAAAGCAAATGCCTTATTTTCTTTGATTCAATCATTCGACATCTGGCTTATACTTGTTTATTTTCTAGCCGTCAAGAGAACCATTACTAAGAAAGTCGCTGAAAGTGCAAAGGGAGGAGACCTTTCTATAAAACCTTCACCACAGGTAAATACTTTTTGTTATAACTTCCTTTTCAACATATTGATGTTGATACTTTCGACTCCTTTCTTTTCTGGGTATTAAGAAAACTACTCCAAAGAAAAGGAAAGTTCAAGAAATTTAAATTTCCAGTGATGAAGAAGAAGAATCTCCTCCTGTCCCTCTTAAGAGGCAGAAATTAAAGAAACCAGTTCCTCTTTATGAACCTCGTCCAAAAACCAAGACCAAGGTTATGGCTACTAAGTCGAGGCTTCCTCCTGTCATCATCAAAGAGCCAACGGAACGAGAAATAGTTGTTAGGCTGAATAATCCCAGTGAAAGTGATAATTCAAGTCCTAGTGCTGAAGTTCCATCCCGGGTAACAACTTCGACCATCTAAAACTCTTCTTTGAATTATTTTACAATAATTCTAATAATACTCTTTTGATTCTCAGGACACTGCTGGCACTTCCAAATAGGCTCCTACACCTGTAGAAGAATCTGTCATTTTAATAAACAATGAGGGCGATCCCACTTATAGGCCTTCTTCAGCAAAGGGATCCTTTGTGAGCTCATCCAGCAAGGTGAACCAAACCTCTGAGCATCAAGTTGCAACTGTTGGGGAGAAGAATAAATAAATCCCTAATGATGAGAATTCTGACCTACCACACACTACTCTTTGAACCTCACTAGCCACTGATGATGAACAAGAAGAGGAAGAGGAAGCTGCTAATGATGCAGTCAAACCGGAGAGGGAGGGCATACCAGAGGGAGAGAATCAAGATGAGGATATTCCGGCGGATGACGGGAGAGAGAACTCTGTAGGGGGAGCAAGAAACTTTGCAGGGGGCACGCGTTGGGCCATGTATAATTGCAAATCAAGATTGGAGCACTCCAAATGCCCGCTCCACATCCTTTCTAGCTGATTCTTGATGTTGAGCAAATAATTTTCTCTTTTCTCCCTGCGACATTGAAATGGTCTTGAAAAATGTAGCCCATCCAAGATATATACCATCCTCTAAATAATACCCCATATTATATGATGTTCCATTGATTATATAGTTCACAGTGGGAGCATGTCCTTCCAAAATATCGTTAAACACATTGGATTGGTTTAGCACATTAATGTCATTGTTTGAACCTGTAATACCAAAAAATGCATGCCAAATCCATAGGTCTTATGATGCCATTGCTTCAACCATGATTGTGGGTTTGCCATGATCACCTCGAAAAAATTGTCCTTTCCATGCAACAGGATAAATTTTCCATTTCCAGTGCATACAATCAATGGAACCCAACATACCTGCAAAGCCACGTGACTCTCCCATTTGTAAAAGATGTTCAACATATGTGTTGTTAGGCTTTCTCAAATACTCTGCCCCAAATACAACATTCACACCCCGGACGAATCTTTCTAAGCACTCAACTGAAGTGCTTTCATCGATTCGAACATATTCATCTACACTATCAGCGGGAGACCCGTATGCCAACATACGAATAGCAGAAGTGCATTTCTGCAATGGTGAAATACCCATTTTATCAGTTGCATCGACCCTCATTTGGAAATATTCATCATGATTTCCAAGGGCGGCTACAATTCGAAGAAACACATGCCTATGCATTCTGAACCTTCTTCGGAATTGAACATCTGTGTATACTGGATTTACCGAGAAGTAGTCATTGAATAAACGATTGTGCCCTTCTTCACGACTTCGATATATAATTATTCTTCTGTTTGGCCTAGACAAACTTCCAGATTGATGTTCCTTCTCGAGCATTGACTTTAGTTGTTCTTCATCTGTGTTGTCCATAAATTCTTCTTCAATCAAGTTCCAAAAGAGATCATCTGAACTGTCTGAATCCATTAAAGTGAGTGAAGAATTTAAGAAGAATGAGAGAAGAATGAGAAAATAATGAGAAGAGTGGTCATTTATATAGTGATATATGAATAACGGCTAGTTTGAATAACAACTAGTTTGAAAAACGGCTAGTTTGAATAACGGCTAGTTTGAACAACGGCTAGTTTGAATAACAACATAATATTTATTATAAATTAAATTGGTATTAATGACCATTTTACATAGGTGTTGATACATAACAAGTACTACAATTTTTCATCATGACTAAAGTCTATATTTTTTTCCAACTTATTACAATATTTTTCATGAATGTCTCGTTGACTATCATTCGTTGTAGAAGTGTCTTTTGAGAGTAATTGCATTGCCTTATACTCCATCTCGTCCTCCTTACATTGAGCTAGTCTTTCCATTGCTTCTACTCTTTTATTCCATGTATCTTGCACAACATTAGAAGGTGATTCATATGCATTTTCCTTTGCCTTACTTTTTCTTTTTGATGCTTGTTGTCCCATTAGATGCTCCATTGGTGATGATGAGTTAAACTCGTAACTTGAAGGTGTCGTGAGGTTAGACGATGATGAGTGTGCCCCACTAACAAAATTCTTTTTTTCTTTTTAAAGAATTTTCAGTTGATGCTCTCATCCATTTAGGTTCATCCTTTAACAATCGCCATGCGTACTCAAGATTGAAGATTGAATGATGTACCTTCATCCTGAGCAAAAAAAGCATATGCAGCGGCCAAGATATCTTTCTCTGATGTCCCACTTTTCTTTCTATTAACAGCTTGTTTGTAACACCAAACAAAATTTTGAACCAAGTCATTTATTCAATGCCATCGAGATTTTAATTGCCCACGTAGCTTTTCCCGCGACTGCCCACGATATTGATTATAATTGGTAGCGATTCTTAACCAAAAACTCTCAACTTTTTGATCAACTTCCATAATTGGATCCTTTGAAACATTGAGCCATGATTGGATAAGAAGTATATCTTCATCCCTTGAAAATAGCTCTCGAGATTTTTTTTAACGGGATGACTTTCTTATTTTTCAATACCAACTTGAGCAGAACATGGTGGAACTTGACTTTCGGACATAAACACATTCGGTGGTTGTGTTTCCGGTTCATGACGGAAAAAATCCATAGACTGTTGAACATAGGGCGGAGTTTGGTGACGAAAAAAATGTGGCGGAGTCTTTCCGGTTGGTGCCAGAAAAAATGCGGCAGAATTTGTTGGCATCGATGAAAATTGAAAATTTTGAAGATTAGGATTTTAAAAATTTTGCATGAAATTGAACATAGATTGTTGATAATTAAATTGATTAAGATTCATTTGACTTAAACAATATTAATTTTGAAATAAAAAGATGAAAGTATGAGAGAATAGTATGAGAGAAATTTCAAATAGCTTGTATTTATAATAAACTAAAGTATTAAAAAAACAAAAAACAAAAAAAGCAAACTAGTCGTTCTTAATTTTACTGCCAATGACCGTTGTAATGCATTTAAATGGTAGTCTAAGCTGGTCAACTCCAGCAACATTTATTTTACTGAAACGCAATATTACACTGACAGAGAGCATCAAAAAACCAGCGTTAGCGCTCCTCTAAGATGTACTCAGAAAACTACAATTAATAAAAACATTTTAAAGAATTATATTTATTTTATTTTAAAATTTTAGAAAAACTACAATTAATAAAAACATTTTAAAGAATTATATTTATTTTATTTTAAAATTTTAATTAAAATATACAATATAAAAAAAAATTACACCGTCAACTATCTATAACCGTTTGATTTTTATTAATGTTTGACTTTAACTTTAATCAGATATAAAATATTACTTATGAGAATAATTGTGATGTTGTGTAACAAAATGTCAATTAATCTCTTATTTAAAAAAATATATATTTAATCATTTTTTTTAAATCGTGCATAGTTGAAATATGAATTTTTTGTATGAAATGGAGAGAACATTATTTGCCATACTTCGAGCTGTCAAATATAACAATTTAATTTAGGATTCAATCTTTCAAAGATTGACAAACTTAATTTTGAAAAAAAGAACATTGGTAAATTTACACTTCCTCCCATGCCCTTAAATATTAATTACTCCCTTATTGTTTTCCAAGTTTTTTTAATTAACTTTTCTTATACTATTAATAAAAAATTAGATAAAACTAGTTACAATTCCTCTTTCCTATATATAATTGCCTACATTTGTTAAATTTGTGTAATATTGACACAACTCAAAAACGTAAGTAGATTTTTTTCCATACTATTATCACCAAAGATTAAGAGGATTATACTTGCCTTGATGCAACATGGCAATAATATGCTTTAAAACGGTACATATGCCTTTAATCAATTTAAATGGATAGCTTTAAAAATACATTTTACTTAAAAAAAAACAAAGATAACATTATTCAAAAAAAACATTTATCAGATTGAGAATAAATTGCTTGGCCCAATGGCCCTATAAAACTTCAGATACAAAAAGATTATAAATAAACTAAATTCCTAATTAAGATAATATCAGTATCCTAAAAGTTAAATTTGGAAGATTAGAAAGCTGTTTATAAATAATGGAGGATTAGAAAGCTGTTTATCATAATTTAACTAAAATTTTAAGTAAAAAGATTTAAAGATGTCACACTATTTTGAATTTTGCTTACCAATATGGTATACAAAAGATGACCCTAAGAATTCAAATCAGAGGAAACAATAGACCAATGATCAAAGAATTCAAATCAGAGCAAACAATGGACCAAAGATCAATGAGCATAAATCATTTCGAACAGATACGATGAATCAACCAAATTTCAATTATAGAACAAAGCAACCCAACAACTAGAGAAGACAATCAAAGTACTTAGTTCTTAACTCGGATATAAAACATGAAATGTAGATCATAGCCGTTAAGCAATTATCTCAACAGATCAAGCAAGTTCCACAAGTTACAAAACCACAAAATGACAAAAACACTGCAAAGTTTACGAACTTAGAGAGACTTCACGAACAGATATGAACTTGTAGTTGAATAAGCCTTGTAGATGACAGCATCAGTGCAGTAATGCCTCCCTGATTCACAGCAAAACACTTATCAGTAACAGCACTTCATGCATGAAAAATAATACAAAAGCACTATCATCAAGCAAGATCTTACCTTAATTTCCGTGTAGTATATAGTCAACAATCTCCATGGAGGATAAGACAGGTGAAGACAATAGAAAGAAGCAATAACCAGAAGGCGAAAACGGGACATATACGGGTTGGTAAGTAAGTACGATGTGACAAGGATTTTAACCTACAGAAGCTAAAGCATTCAGCAACAAAAGACTATTTAAACCAAACCCTTCCAGCTTTTCTTTGTAAAAAACAGAAAAGATGGTGAAGGGACAAACTTTGCCCTCGTAGAGGGAGAAACAAAAGATAACTAGGAGAGAAGGGTCTGAAAGAAAGGTAGTAACTATCTACTAACTTGTAAACAGTAGGTCACCTAGAAGACTAGAAGAGTATATATATGATCAGAAAAGAAAAGAAATTCATAGAGAGGATTAAGAACCAGAGGATTGATGTCTAAAGAGTTTAAGTAAGTTGGAGACTAGATACAACCTAAAGTATGTACTAAAGCAAGAGGCCTAAATCCTTAATCAGATTAAATAAAGTTAATCAGTCTGTGAACTATATAGATCATGAATATAACAAGTAACTGTCTTCGGGCCAAAGTAAATTCCATCATGCCACTCCCACCTATTACCGTCATCTCTGCCTCCATACCATTTTCCCTGCAGCTTCCATCAATGTCAACCAAATCACAAACCAAAACCTGCTCACGAAAGAGCTTTACAATATACACCCACTTACCCTTGTTCCATGTTACCCTCAATGTCAAACCTGACCAAATTTCCAAGATCTGGAGAATGTTAACCAACGACAGCCATTAATCATTGTTACCAAGGGCACTACATACACCACTACTGAAAGCTACACAAACTCAACCAACCAAACTCATACTTTTATTTGGCCACTCTATATACACAGCAAAACCAACACTAACCCAACTTCATTAAAAAAAAGACATATTTACAGTAAACATTTGCTCCTGCGAGCATCATTCGTCATCCTCCAAGTTAAGATTGAGAATGCGACAAAGAGTCCTAGTCGCAGAATCATCGTTAACAGAGAAATCTTTAGCAAAAGGGGAATCCTCCTGGCGAGGGGAACACGGTGCAGAGTAAGCAAACTGGTGCATTTCAATCTCAGGTAAAGCAGAAACAGGAAGCTCAAGAGACACAGTCCTCTTAGGCCTAACAGAGAACTTCGGAATAGGCAAAGAACTTGGTGGTGGTGAATTCGAATAAGTAGGTCCAGCCCAAAGTTCCGAAAGCAAAAAACTCCCATTAGCATCAACAAAACCAACTTCATTTCTACAACCATTGTCTCTGATAGGAACCGGGGCACTACTAGGTGCATCTTTGCACATACTTCTACTACCCGATTTTGAAACCGGAGTACTTAAAGGTGTTTTCAGTTTAGTATCCGGCAAAGCCGAAGTACTAGGCTTAAACGGTGTTGGTAGAATACCAGACCCAGTTTGAAAAGTTCTACAATTAATCCCCCTAAACTGACTCGAAGGCGAAGAAGAACCAAACCGTGGCGATTTAGATCCACCATAGTATTGGGTCCTATGCTGAGCAACAACAACAAGTGTCTCCATTTTTCAATCAAAAACCTTAACAACAACAACAACAACAAGTGTAACTAACTAACCCACGTAGCTTCTGAGAAAAACCAGATCTAATTTCTCGAAACCTGCGACGGTAACGAAATCTCCGACACTGGAAAAACAACAAAAACAACAACAAGAAGAACATAATCAAACAATAAATATTATTAAAACATGAAACAAAACAAAACAAAACAAAAACATAGGAACGTTTGAAAAACCATGAATCGAAAGTAAACAACTAGATATGAAAAAAAATAGTGAGAAATACCGAATAGTGAAGAAGAGAAAGTGTGTGAGAGCGGCTATGGTGATTCTTCGTTGTGGTTTTGTAGGGTTTGTGAAAAGGGTTACAGAAAAAGAAGAAGAAGAAGGGGTTAGAAGAAGGGATCTGAGAAATGAAAGAGTGTGAGAGTAAAATGAAAAATGTATTGGAATTGAAAACTGTGTGTTTGGAAAATGGGTCTTGTTTTGAGGATATTTACGAACGTGACATTGTGTGTTCTTCGTCCACTCGCCAAGTAACGTGATGGATTATATATTACCATTTTAGCCTTGGGTTTGTTTTGTTGTTGAGAGAGGTAGAAAATATCTTCTTTTTTTTAATGAATGAATCGATTGCAAGTGGAGGGGATATAAAAAGTCATGTTAGTAGCGCTCCAAAAGTATTATAGCCAAAGAATTTAAAATATTTATATTTATATTTGAATTGAGAAAATAAATAAATTATTAAAAAATCATTCTTAAATTTGTACAAATTTGAATACACCGGACCGGGTGTTTGATCAAGCTACTTTTTCCACTATTCTAAACATTTTAAATTATACATATTATTATAATAAAATTAAAATGTAGTGTAAAATAATCTAATAAAAAATTATTATTTAAATATATTATATAATTTATTTTAAAATGATATTATGATTTGTCATTTAATATAGTTGTGATTGATTGACAACATAAAATTATATTACACTGTCAATATTTATTTTCATTTATAATATATTATAATTTTGTTGTAAAAATTTAAAATTTAATTCACATTAAAAAATTTAATATGTGAAAATAAAGAACAATGAAAATGAAAACAAACGGTCTTTACCAATTATAATTTTTTGATATAATAAGACTCTATATTAATTTGACAGCCAATGAAGAACAAAACTACAACAAATTTATTTATTTAGTTCAATCAAATGATCTACATTTCGGGAGAGAATAACTCTTCAATTCTCTATACTCCAAAAAATTATTAGAAGATATTACAAAAGAATTAAGAAAATAGCAATCAAAATTTCTAAGAACAAACCCAATTTTCTACTTAGGTGTTTTTCAATCGCTCAAACTCTCAATTTTTTACTTCAGGTGTTTCGTTTCTCAATCGTTCAAACTCTCTATATAGTAATCACACAAATACAAGATGTTAAAGAGTATGGTTTCTAGTCAGATGTTTCTCAATCGCTCAAACTCTCTATATAGTAATCACACAAATCCAAGATATTAAAGAGTATGGTCTGATGTGTCAAAAAAACATTATTTGATACTTCTAAATAACTCTAAAAATGTTCTTTAAACCCTAAATCCTGATTTTCTCTATTACTCTAAAGTTCTAAAATGACAAAATATATTTTTTGATCTCATATGTTAACATCGAGGTTCATTTTGGTTCTTTAATTTAAAAAAAATTCATTTTGGTCTTTTAACTTAAAAAAGATTCATATTAATTCATTAACTCTTCAAAACGCTTCATTTTAAACTTTTATTTTGTCTAATTAGCGACCAATTTCTGAATTTTTCTGTCGCTATAAAATATTATTAAATTTTATAATATCTCATAAAATATTATAAATATTTTATATTATCTTTTAAAATATTATAAATATCTTATAGTATCTCTTAAAATATAAAAAATATTAATTTATAATATTTTTAAATTAATATAAAAATATATATTTAATATTATAACATTAAAAAACATATTTGTAAATTGAACCGATCAAATTCGGTATTCACATACCTTAGCTGAATATTTTTTCTACTTTTCGGTTTTTTTTATTTTTTCAACAAATTTATTTAATGATTCTTGATTTTACGACCAATACAGAAAAATTAAAATAGCTAATAAAATAATTAATGTATTCTAATATTTCTCTCAAATCTCATAAATTTTAATCACCAAAATAAAGTATATGAAATTGATCTGACCTGATCAGAAATGGACCGTCACGGCTGGCTCCGAGCAGAAAGCTTTTTTGAACGAGGTGGGGGGGGGTACCTGCAAGGCACTCCGATGCTGAAGTAAGTAGGAGTACGAGCAGATAATAGCAAGTGTAAGGTTAGAATGATGAATACCTGACCCTCTGGAAGCAGAGGGTATTTATAGCCCCCAACGCTGGGCCAAGGTTCCTTCATTGGGCCGGGCAGGTTTGGCCCAATGGAGGAACTGCCAGGTTCTACGTGGGTAGTGGGGATCCGCACGTGGTCCCCTTCCTGGATGTTCTGCGTGAAGTGCGGGCGGACGGAGACGCGGTCTTTTCGGAGTATCGTTGGGGGAATGGTGGACTGAGTCTGCCCTAGCTGGAGTGCTCGAGGTAACGTCGAGCTGGACCTCAGACCGTGGTGCTGGACCACCTCATGTCGAGCTGGAGGCGTATCGTCGAGCCAGCGACTGTGCGTCGGGCACGGCCTCACTCTTTGGTCGGCGTGGCCTTTGTAAGTCCATTTGGACTGGGCCTTTGCAATGCTTTTGGGCTTGTCGGGCCCAGTCCAGAACAGGAGCCCCCCAAGTCGTGGTTCCTTTGCGAGGAGCCATGACTTGAACTCAAGTCGTTTCTTCATCGAGGTCTCGTGCCCGGGACAGAGGTGTGGGCCCTTGAGGGCCTCCCAGTGTCGTGCTCGGAGACATCTTCGGTGGTGGATGCGCGGAGGATCCTTGTCGGGCGCGTCTGTCGAGCATACGAGGTATCTTTCGGGAACTGTGCCGCCACCCTATGGGGATAGGGTCATCATTGCGTTGGGCGTAGCGCGTCGAGGAGAGGGAGTCTGTGGTTGCCCGAGGTGACGTTTGGTATTCCACGTCATCACTATAAATAGGAACCTTGGGCCCCATAACACGCTTTTATTCCCTGCGCTCTCTCTGCTGCTGCTCTTCCAGATCTTCTCCAGTTACGACTTTCTGTCACCGATTCTTCTACTCCGTAGCCAAATCCTACTCTTTGATTCAAGTAAGTGGTCTATCTTCTTCATTTTCTTGTTTAGAATGCATGATTTCTGGCGTTTGTAGATGTTTTAGGGCCATGCGCGTGGGATTAGCCCGGTAAACTCATACTTAGCCCGACATGTTCATGACTAGGACCGGCAAACGCATGTTTGTGGCCGGCGTGTTCATAGTTTTAGGCGATAAACTTCATCGCTGCCCGGGGTCTTCATGATCCAGGGCGCCTGATTCATGATCGCGCCCGGTATGTTCATGGTCCTGGCCGTGGTCCTCATGGTGTGGCTCGCCATGTTCATACCTTGGGTCGACATGTTGGAGAGTGACCGCATAGTTGGTTTGAGGAAGAACAGGATGTCGGGGAGGAAACCATTCGTGGAAACGGGCTACGTGGTCGTGAATGGGACGACGTGATTTATCGAGCATATAGCTTCGTGCCCAATTGACTGGTTTTCCGTGGTCTGCAGGTAACCATGGCGGACGAGCCAAGCACCTCCGGGCGTCACGATCGTGAAGAACAAAGCGTCGACGAGTCGGTCAACCTGATTGATACTGTGACCGACCCGTTGCTGGATTGGGTGGGCGTCGAGCCCCGAGGGATCGCGTCGGTCTACAGTCGGAGCGACCGGGATCCGTATGCTATCATCGAAGCGGGCCAGGGTCAGCCCGACTTCCAAAAGAACTTCGTAGTCATGCGCCCGTCATCCCGTGCAAGGATCTGCTCGGTTTATCCGGAATACAGCTTCGCGATGTATGAGATCACGTTCAAAGATTTAGGGTTGCGGCTGCCCTTCACTGATTTCCAGGCCGGGGTCTTCACTCACCTAGAGCTGGCCCCGTCCCAGCTACATCCAAACTCTCTCGCCTTCATCCGGGCGTTTGAGTTGACGTGTCGCTACCTGAGGATCGGGGCGACCATACCGCTTTTCTTCCGGATATTTCACCTGCAGCGCCAGTCCCGAGGAGGGAAACATAGCTGGGTCTCCCTGAAGCAGTCGAGGAGACTCTTTAAAATGTATATGGACTCTGTGAGGGGTTTTAAAGACAAGTGGTACGTGGTGCGGCCAGTTACCACCTCTGCTTTAAATTCTCTTTTCGAGGAGGAGGAGCCGCTGAGCGACGAGGACGGGGAGGCGGTTCTGGGCGACGATGGGAACCCTGTGTTGGGCCGTACGGCTAAAGTCCCTGTGCACTGGATGTCCCGGCATTACGAGCATGGGACGGGTTATTACCATACCGCCGCCGGGGACATGTGCACGGAAGATGAGGAGGCGTACGCCGCACTTTGCCGATTTGTTGATAGCTTTCATCCTGCCCGGTGGGTTACGCGGGAAGGGGATGATATCTTGGACAAAGATGGTTACCCAATGTTCGAGTCCCGTCCGATTGATACCAAGGCGCTCATGGAGTGCCCGACGTACAGGCAGGCTGCCCGCCTGTTAGGTTGTTTGTTGCTTGAATTTCTTTATTCATCATTTATTTATGAAGTTTGCTCGATACTGACCTATCTTTTATTTTGTGCAGGTTCGATGGCTAGTCGACATGAAAGGCTCTTGAAATTATCCTGCGACCAGAGGCGAGGCAGGAGGGTCGTGAAGGCCCCACAGGCGACGAGGATGGGTCCACCACCCAGTCCAAATGCTCCTCAGCCGGTGAGGGTGGACTCGCCGTCAAGCTCGGGGGCCGCGTCGGATGGGACCCCGGAAGTTGAAGAGATCGACCCTAGTGCCGTCTTGATACAGAGAAAGAGGACCCGGGTGGAAAGTAGTCCGACTGTTGGCGAGGACGCCGGTGCTGTCAAATCCTTCGCCTTCCCCCCTTGCTTCGAAGAGGCGGGCTTTTTCGAGAGATTCCCTCTGACAGTGATTGCCGACGAAGCTGCAGCCATAAAAAAGATGAGTAAAGAGGACCGAAAGGCGCATCTGGCCGCCAGTATGGACGAGATGGCTTTGGTGCTATCCGAGGATGGAGGGGATCCTGCCCGTGTTGAAGAACTCGAGCAGGAGAAGGCGGCCCTGACCTCGAGCTCGCGGAAGTTGAAGGTCGCTCTGGAATGCTCCGAGGGGATGTTCCGCGAGCAGACTGCGATGCTCGATGCTGAGAGGGAGATGTTGACCCTGGAGAAGGAGAAGTCGGGGAAGTTGGCCGAGGAGGGGGAGCTTCTTCGGGCAGACAGGGATCGTCTGGGGGCCGAAGTCGAACGTTTGGCCCAGCAGATCGAGGAAATGAATGCTGCAATGCAACCTGCCGAGGATGAGCCCGAGGACATAGTGGCTTTGAAGAGTCGGTTGGAGCTGGTCGCCCACATCCGGCTCCTCGAGGCAGATTGTGTCG